TCGAGTTGCAACCAGAGTCACGGAACGGATTAAGTTCGTATCCCGAGGTACCACTGTAGATCAGCCGTTATGCTGGGGCACCCATCTCGTGCTGCGATTTTGAAAACAGGCTGCCCGTACAGTAAACAGATTTCATGGAGTGTCTCACGTGTAGTTGCATATCTCAAAATCAACCCCAAAAGGAAAAATAAGTCAACCTCTTTTTCTCCGCTCTGCTTTACCCATGCACCTAGACAGGCAGCTGATCCAATCACAAAGCGGGTTAGGCTGTCATGAATTCATCCTCTGCAAGAGCGTGCGTGTTAAAACTTCCCAAAATACTCTTGAACTCTGTAAATGCCATACAGATAACATCTGGTCTTTAAGAGCATAGAAGCCGTTGCCTAAAAACGAATGTCACATTCTGGAGGAGCAAGGTTGGGAAGCGAACCTTGCGCGCGACGAAAACAACGAATATTCAGGTCGAGTTGAGGTAGCTTTGTTTGTTCAGAAACATACAACTGGATTTAAAAATATGAGCGGAACAAAGGGCTCTTTGCTGCTGTTTAAGAACCCCATGCATGTCTACAGGAAATGGATTCACGTTGCTAGCCAAAAACATTATGGTTAAATTTGTTATGTGGTTGACTAATGAGCCGTCATTTGTTTTGAATGATGACCTGGATGTTCTGTGGCTGAAGGAATCATCACTTCTTGGGGGTGAACAAAAGAGCAGATGGGTACTTGGTCACCTTAGTTGGCCTTGAAGGTACCGTGTGAACGTAAAATGTGGTTTCCCACCTCCTCTTTACCTTCACTTATTCCAGAGAAGGGACGGTAGAGCTCGGTTTGCCTTGAGCCTGCCAAGGTATGCTTATCCAAGGCAAGTCATGGCCTATACACAAACCCCACCATCACCATTTCTACTCAGGCACGTGCCTACACCCTGTTCTCAGCTCCCAGTAGTATCTTCTAGCAATAGAAGGCTGTGGAGAAGTAGTTTCGGCTGCAGAAAGTACATTGATGGCCCAGCACTTTTTAATGTTCTTCCTCCCCCTCTTGAGACATTCGCTATATAAACCCATGTTAACAGTATGTATCTAAAAGCAGCCAGAACATGGATTATCCTAATCCCCACGGACGTTTTTGCATGTTTTGGCCTGACCCTGATTTGTTCCTTTGTTCGGGCTGTAGCACAAGTTCCTCTCTGTGGCTGCATGGGTTTAATTAAGGCTTTGTCAGCCAGAGCGCTCAGTCATCACCCGATATGAATGGGGCGAGACAAGCCAACTTCTTTTGTTGAGCCATATTTCAAGGAATCAGAACCACCGTGCAGGAAATACAATTCTGCCATTGTGATTTATTTTTCAGACAGAGAAGTTGTTCAGAGAGCACGTTGTTCGTTTAGAAGCTTGACTTGCATCAGAATGTTGGCATTAGGCGGGATGTCCTGTACTCCAGACGATTTATGCTCCATCATCCACCTCCCGCTATATTAGATGGCCGGGGGGGGGGGTTGATGGCTGCGTGATAGACCACCGTGCATTTTGTTTTAAGAAGCCACTGGAACCCAGGAAACACGACCCAGAACTGCTTTGTTTCCCTGGACTTTTCCATAGTAGCTTCACAGTTTTCTGGTCGTGGTGATGGGACTTCAGGTGTCCTTCTCAACGCCTATCAACCAGTTGAGGAGAGGGCCTTCTGTGGAAGACTGCTTCCATAAATTCGCCCCCCCCTCAAAAAAACCCACAATTTGAGATACAGAAAATGCACCCAAGAATATTTCCTTCTATATTACAGAAACAGGACCCCGCATCAGAGAAATGTTCCTTTCTTTCTCGCCACACTAACGAACGGTACAAAAAATGAGCCGTGAACAGTTAACCTTTGTGGCTGTTTTAAGACTTCACCCTGAATTAATTTGGAGACTGGAATGAGGAAAGCTTTGTGTCTTTGCAGACTGAGGAATAATATTTTTCACGGGGTTGTTGGAAAAAGAAAAACCAGAACGCAGACGACAGCGTAAGGTTGATCTGGCATAATGCCTTCTCCTTGACATGTCCCGTATCAAATATGTGAGGATTTAATCCGGTTGCTTGCTCATTTTCCTCTCTCAAGCAGAGACACCTGTATCGCTGCACTTTAGCAGATTTTCAGATCGAGAAGAAAATTGGGCGAGGACAATTCAGTGAAGTCTACAGAGCTACGTGTCTTCTGGACAGAAAACCGGTGGCATTAAAAAAAGTACAGGTAATTCGTCCTTGCTAAGCAGGAATTCGTCATGATCCTTGCCATTGGCTGAAATGGGCTGGCCTGTCTCCTTGTTAGTCTGGATTCTTTAAAACCTATTTAGCTGTTTTTCTTACCTCCCCCATGTAGCCTCCAGCCACCACATGGCCCTCAATCTCGTCCCAACCCTCAGCGTGCCTTTTTTCCATCCCCGGCTGCAATTCTGCTGATAGAAGGGTTCAGCTCAAAAGATCATCCCATTTTTTCCCCCAAATCACCTTTAAGCCCAACGATGGAAGCCAGTGGCTATCAAAAGAGCAAAAAGAGCCTGCTTAAGCATTAACATTATTTAGCCCATGTAACATTAGATAAATTATTTTGGTTTCCATTAAAAGCATTCTCACCCTAGCCTATTTGAAAGCCAACCGAAAACTCTCCCTTGCTGGAATTTCCAGCAAATCTCTGAAGTTTTATTTCTGTATTTGGTGGACCATATTGCCTCCGTGATGTAAGTTTTAGATCTACCTGGGTCTGAATCTATTTAGTGTGGTTCCTCTACTTTCATAGGAAATAGTCAACTGAGCTCTCAAAATGGCTTTCGGTGTTAAGAGTCTTTGTTTCCAATTAGGACTTGTTATATGCAGAAGAAGGCAATTTATTTTGTCAATAGAAAAGCATAGTAATGTAAGAAGAAGTGCTAGGTCATTATTTGTAAATGTTTTCCCGGTACTTTTCAGCATGTTCTCAAAATTTGCATTTATTTATGGACTGTAGTTCCTTTGGATTTGCATGTTTTTGTTTTTTGGGTCGAGAAATTAGCGAATTGCATGTTACTCTTCGCACTGTTGCCTATGCCTTGCTTTATTTGCAAATCTTATTTAAACCTGAGGAGTGGGGGGCAGGCAGGTTTTAAAACGAAGGAAGGTTAGAGATCTTCGAGAACGCTGAGACTCTGTTTCGTGTTTGTCCTTAAACTTTGCAACTTTCTTTTTCCTCCCTCTTTCTGAAGATATTTGAGATGATGGATGCAAAGGCCAGACAAGATTGCATCAAAGAAATAGACCTTTTGAAGGTAAGAATCCCTCCAAGCTTTGAGTGCTTATTTTCCACTGTCACCTGAGACAGTGGGGAGGTCTGGTTAGGACTAATTTCTGAATGCATCTTTCACTTCATGCCTGTTCGTGAAGCAGTTGCAAAAATAAAGAGTGGTGATTGATGGCCATTTGTTTGCTCCAGTAGAGTTTGGTCAAAGACCAGTGGATTTTTGCATGATTTGGGAGTTAATTTCAGGATGGTCAAGAGAATCAGACGCCCTGATAAACTTTCTGATCACTTTAGACACCTATCCACTTTCTGTTTTGGGGCAGTCAAGAGGTAAAAGGTGGATTATGCTCCTAACCTATTATTGTAAAAGGGTTAGTTCCTTTATGTGATTGCTCATTGCATAAATCTCTCAGCAAGCAGGAAATGAGGTCCACTGAAGTGTATCTCCAAGACAGCATCCCTCCTTTATTGTTGTTGTTTGGACCAGGGGAACCACAGGTCCTTTTTCTCCACTGGAAGCTGGAACAGACCCATATCTCCAATAGTAGAGAAGAAATACAGCTCATGGTTATGTAGATGGGCTCTTGGTGTTCTCGAAGGTTGATGGTTCTCCTGCAGATGTTTTGTTACCAGGCTGGGCAACCTCGTCAGGGCACTGCAGGAAAACCGCCAAGCTCAGAGAACACCAAGAACCCCACAGACCCATATCTGTTCTGGAAATACCCACCTGAACTGGTGAGTCTGCTGCTTTCCTGCATCTCTTCCCAGATGACCCAGCGCTGCAACCTTCCCTTCGCGCTGGCACACATTTCCCACTGAGGTGGCATCTGAGCTGGTTTCTGAGAGCCACTAAGTAGAGAGTGAGGGGAAAGTGAAGGTTGCCAGATCAAACAAGGGGATGATGGTCTGCAGCGTGATGGTGATAATCCTCTGCAAAATAAAGCTGGAGTGGGGAGGCTTCCCCAGATGGTATGGGATGGAGCCAAGCCAGTATGTCTACCTAAGTTAGAATCAAGGGTGAGTGAAACCAAAGGGCTCAGGGTGACAAAGGGAATCAAGATCTTCCCACCCGTGTAAGACGCCTAAAGGCAGCTACAGATCTTCCCATGTCAACCTCACCAGGAAACCAGATGTTAAGTTGTGAATATTGCATTAGCTGGGCTGTGAAGGGAAAAATGTAAGGAGATGATATGTGGGGATAATTAGCACATTCCTCTCCGATGCCTTGTACAGCTTCTAATGGGATTTTTCTCCATTTTCTGATTTAATTAATTCCTTTGCATATCTCAACATTGACCTTGCTTGGCCAAAGCAAAGACTTGACCTAGATCTCTGTGAACAAAGGGAGAGCTGGGGCAGGCTGAAAATCTTACCAAGGTTTGTCTTGTTGGGTCAAGACAGACTGGGATGAACTGAGAGAAGCAAGAGGTGAATGTTTGTTTGGGAACTAAGTTGCTGGTGGTCCACGGCTTAACCATAGATGTATCCAAGCTTGCAGCCTGTGCGAAAGTTGGCCATGTTAGCTGATGAATGAGAGAGAGGACATTTGGGAAATCTGGGGGGCAGATTAAGATGACGAAAAGGCATGAGGCAGTCAGTCACTTTGGATAAGCATCTTGGGACCTTGTATGGCAGAGACTGGCATTATGGCAGGGGACCAATTAGAAGGTTTGTGTTTCATGTCTGGACATTCGTTGAAATGGCAACTGGGAGAAAACCAGTTTGGCCTAGAGAAGGCAGGCGAGGAACTTGACTAAGCGAATAAGGCACCCATCTGACCTGCTCCAAATGTGAAGATCCCACAAAAGACCTGTGGAGTTGCCTGACAAGATTTTTCCGGGTCGGGCCGCTGGCTCACCCAATTTGTTAGAAAGAATTATAGAGAGTCATCTCTGCCGGTCAAATCCTTGTATAGCTGTTGCTCAACCCACAGCGGGAAGTCATATTGTGTTACAAATGTTCCCGGGATCTATTAGTAAATTCTGCCCATTGGGCATTTCTTTCAAATTCATCCAAGTTTCTGAATGAAAGGCCCAATCAGAGATGACAGATTTTGCCCAAGATGCATGTAATTCCTCTTCCAAGGGCCAAGCACATCAGAGCAAAGATCTTAATGTCAAGTTGGGAAACCATTTTTAATGATGTGTTGCAGGTCAGCATTTTCTAATAATTTGATGCAGGTGCCAGAGTTTTCCCATAGGGCCTAAGAGGGCAAGGCTATTCAAGGTTTTACTTAGAGGCAAGGGAGGTTTTTAAGTGGATGGCTTGGTCTGTCTGCATCAGCAACTGACCTGCGCTCTCCGCAGTCCTGCAAAGCTAATAGCTTGTCAAATCAATATCTGCAACTCATCTCTCGCTAATTGAAGGCCCCTTGGCAAAAGCTCTTACGCCTATATGCAGATTTGCAGGTATAAATAGACCTCTCGCTATCCTGTTCTGAAGCAGAGATGAAGGACAGACATCCTTAACTTCCACCAAAGCTTCAGGCGCATTCTGTGTATTCAAGACGGACGAGTTACTATGATGTTCTGAGGCCTTCTGGAATTAGAGTGGAAACGTGACCAGAGAAGAAGTAAAGTTCAGAACCTCAATTCCCAGCCCAGCTGTTGCTCCTCAGTGCACCACCCTCATCTGTGGACATCTGCAACTGCTTCTTAGCATTAATCCAGTGGACAAATCATGAATAGTGCTTTTCTGCTATCAGCGTCATTCTCAGTATTTGGTCCACAGGCCCAAAGCCACCCCATCTTGGGTGGACTCAGTCCAAGCCTGTTCCTGATGGCTTCCAGGCCCTTCCACCACCTTGCCTGCTGAGATGTCTAGCTGGGGTGTCATCAACCCATGGTTGACACCAGATGCCACGCTCTCCCAGCAGGGAAGTGGAGGTGGCACCAGGTCCATTATTCTAAGCACAACACAGTCCACTTGGGTGGAGTTGGTTCCAATACGTTTTTTTTCCCCCCTCTCTCAAATCCTGTTTTGTAACATGCCATTTCTAATTTTAGGAAGGGGGGAAACGAAATTGCATCAGAACATTATGTCTCTCGTGTGCCAAAAACCTTCCTTGAGCGGATGTCTCATTTGGAGAGTAGCTGAAGCTCCCGAGAATGTGGAAAGTGGCGCTTTCTGAACCCAAGGGAAAGGGGAAGCTGTAACAGGGCTGTAATCAACAGCCTGCCTATAAGCATCGGGGCTTTCATTTAGTGACTGCCGGCTTTTTGCATGCTTCACCGCGGGCACATTCCTTGCATACAAATCAGGCATTCCTGTCCATCAGATTTTCAGATGGCATTAAAAAGAAGAAGGCGGTTGGTCATCTAAGCCTGTGTGTGTGCGTGCATGTATGGTGGGTTTATCTTCATTTAAGATGGAGCCGATGCAAAGGTCGCACCGAGCTTCCTTCCGTGCAAAGGCAACTGCCCGTGTAGGAAGGGGCACAGACTGGGTCTGCCATTACTTTCCCTGGAGGTGTTGTAGAACAGGTGAAGGGCAGCCGAGAGAAGGGCTTTTTGGCTGGGCTGGTGGCATTTAGGACAGCAGTGCAAACGTGGAGACGCGGCTCGGCTTGTTCTTGAAGTAGAACCACCGATTAATTTCCACGGGCTTTCAGTCCCCAAGGTGCTCCGAGGCAGAACGCAAAAGAGCATAAAACAGCGGCCGTCCGTTCATTATTAAATCATTGGCCAACCCCTCGGAAGGCCTGGCGGACGAGGATGGTTTTGATCCATAAATGCAATTGTTAAAGGAAAGCAGTACGGAAAATTTGTTACTGGGGAGGTGAAAGCACACGGATGTGCCCTGTGTAGTTGGCCCTTCGATACCTTGGCTAGGATTTGGGGCATTCTCACCCAGTTGCTGGAGCCCTCCAGACTGCAGGCCCCAGAGTCCCCCCTTGCCCCCCAGCAGGACCGAAGGACGTCTGTTGCTCCCCCTTGATCCTCGTTAGCAAGAATTCTTCATTCTCCGAGTCTGTATCTCGCCATGAGTGACTCAACCGGTGGGTCATGAGGATGATGATGTCAGCTCAGTTAACCTGGGAAAGAGGCACGTGGAAGAAGCTGTGGCTGAGGGCAAGAGCAAAGTCGGTTTATTTCTGGCGTCGCTCTTCCCAGATCTGTTTTGGTTGGGTTTTAAGCAGAAAAGAGAAGGGAAGCTGAGAAGAGAGGCTGCTTTTTGCTCCAAAATGAAACACAGCAATTGTACCAGCAATGCAATCACATAAATGCATTTTATTTTATGTGCTTTTCTCAGTAGGGTTGCCTGAGAGCAAGATTAGCGCATTTTGAAAGTGAGGCACGTCTCTTATTTTGCATATTGCGAGAGAGAGAGATTTTTACTCAGGAGTAACATTTCTCAGGGGACGTGAGATTGTCAGTTGTGGTTTCCAATGCCTCTCATTCTGTCTTGGGAATAATGGCAAAATCCCAAAAGTTAAGGAGAAAAGAAATCATTGCAAACGATAAGTCTCCTTTTTCTTGGGAAAACAAAGATTTGCAGAGAAATCTCCTTTCCTTGCTTGCATTTTACACCTAGAAGTGTATATTGGGGTCGGTGGCAGATCTGATTTTCCAGATCATCTTGAAAAAAGTCTTTCCCTCGGTTGAGGTAATTGGTGACAACTGTGTCCTTGGGATATGGGTTTTTTCTTACCTTTGATGGTTACTGAGAAATGGTTTGAGAACAGCAGCGAAATTTAACGGAGACAAATGCTAAGTTGCACACTTAGAGAACAGCAGCTGAATAGAGGAATACGTGTCTTGGCAGTGGCACTTGTGAAAAAAAAAAGTCTTAGAATAGTAGGAGATGACAAATGAGTCAGCAGCATGGCACGATTACCAAAACAGAAATGCAAATTTAAGCTGCATCAACCAGGGTGCTGTTTTTGCATTACAGGAAGCCACCATTCTGCTTTATTCTGCTTTGACCAAACCCCTCCTCCAGGCCTGGCATCTACTCTTTGAGAGATGCCAACCGGAGCAGGTTTCTAGACTGGCAACCAGGTGCTAGACGTGAAGCCCTATCAAGAGAGGTGGAAGGCCCTGGGCATGGTTTGCTTCCTCAGGAGAAGGCTGGTAGGGGTGACAGCAGTCTTCAGATCCTAGAAAGATGTCACCCTGGACGTTAGGAAAGGCTTCCTAAGAGTTAGAGCAGCTGGACAGCGGAATCAGTGACCCAGAGAGGTGGTGAGGTCCCTTCACTGGGTTGGTGGGAGGAGAGGCTGGACAACCTTCTGTCAAGGATGCCTAATTTGGGACCCCATCGCCTGAACCGTCTCTTCCACCTGAAGGACTCTCCTTACGTTATGTCTTATATTCTTGAGTTCTTCGGTGCATCTTGGGCTCCTTTCATTCAGGCAATGATTGCTTCTTCCTTGTGCTTTTGACAGCAATTGAACCACCCCAACATAATCAAGTATTTGGATTCATTTATCGAAGACAATGAACTGAACATTGTACTGGAGCTCGCAGATGCTGGCGACCTTTCTCAGATGATTAAGGTGAGATCACTTTGAAGGTTTCGGATCCCTCCCTCCCTCCATCCCTTCCTTCCTTCAAGTAGACTAAGCATCAAGTTTGGGTGCAGAACAAAATATGCTTGTGCAGCACTTTCTGGGATGAAGCTAAAAGATCGAAACGAGAACCAAGGCGATGGGAGGAAATGGAAAATCACACCACAAAGGCAGTGGCTTATTATACAGACTGTAGGGTAGGGTGTCCCGGGGGGAGGGTGCTCAAAAAAGTCAAGAGGATGGCCATAATTGTGCAATCATCATCTTGACTTTTTTGAGTGCCCCCCTCCCAGATATCCCTGCTGTTGGAAAGGCTGCCCTGCAACGCTTTATGAAAAGAACAGAATGAGATCATTCATGGGGACACACTAAACGTGTCTGCTTTTAACTTGAGGATTTGTTAGCAGTACAGCTTCACATTTTGGGGTGGAATTAGAGTGAACTGGGTGGTTTTAACAGGGGCTTAGGCCGTTAGTCTGCTTCAGCATGGCTGCTTTTGAAGTGTTGTGAACAACTCACCAGATGCTGGTATGAGTAGAAGGAAGTTAATATAGAAACGAAAGGAGAACCAATCTAGAAGAGGAGGAGGAGGATCCTCATGATGATCAATTGATCCTGATGCCTCTCTAAGGTGTGATTTTCAGCTTTACACGACAGTTGGGAAGTGCCACCAGTTTCCCATGCTTTTTGTATGTTCTTGGATAGGCGGCAAGCAAAAATGTTCAGAAGATGTTGAGAGCAGCTGAAAAACACATCCACATAGTCTCAAAACCCAGGCCCTGTTTGGCTGTGGCCCTGTCGTCCTTATTTATGAGCATTATAAAGCTGATGTAACTGGGAGTTGCTAACTATACTACCCACTGGAGAACGTTGGCTTACTGTTAAATGTCAAGAAAATCTTTTTGGACATGACATTTAAGAAGATTGCTAATTGTGGTCTAGCGTCTTCTTCTCCAGATACTTCAGCAAGAGCAAGCCCATGATTTTTAGTCAATAATGAGTAGCCCGTCTGCTCGTCCAACAGGATCACGGACTGGGTTGGCAACGTCTGCGAGGTCTTGCACCGCCTACCCTCTGCTGATGACCCTCTGCTGGAAACCTCAGGCATAGTTTGGGCTCTTCGTTGGAGAGCTCCTAAAAAAATAAATCCATACACCTCCCTCTGAGCTGGCTCTCCTCAGAGACATGAATAAAACCAGCAGAGAATTGTGTTGTGGCTTAACATTAAAATAGATACGAACTGGAGATGGCTTTGTGGTTTGGCCCCGAGTCTCTGACCATAAAAGAAGGAGGCTATTTTGAAAACATCTTAAAATAAATGCTAGGTGAATGAGCACCGTTGGCAGGATTCCTGTATATAATAGGGAACGCTTGCTCTTGTATTAAGAAAAACAAAGACTAAATGAACGTGCCCAAGGAGCAGGCCGTTTCAATGATCTTGGGTCCTCTAAATGCTAGACCCATGAACCTTCTGACGCTTCAGCTTTCCATCCCATTGCTTTAGGACTTCTGCTTCTCCTCTGCGCTCCCTGTTGATCTGATAAAACCTTTGTTCGGCCTGGAGTTTCTTTTTTTGGAAGTCCTCCCTGCCACCCAGCTCAATTTTGTTTCTTCAAAAGCTGCTCAGGGAAGAGAGAAGATGGGCTGCACGATTAGGGCCCCGCCAGCTCCTTCCGTTGTCGATAAATTGGACTGAGCTGATTCAACAAGAAAGAGAAGGGTCCTTCTGCTACGGATCCGTCTGCAAAATTGCATATCGCCGGGTATAACCAACACCTTTGACTGGCACGGCCAAGGGGGCTTTGAGCTCCGTGGCCACTGAAGCTTCCTTCCGCTCATTCATCGCCTGTTAGGCAGGCGTGCAATTCCTTCCAACGTCCCTTATCCTGCACCAAATAACAAGGCAGTCGTGCATTTATTTGGTTTTGGAGAACGCTTCCAAACAGATTGTGAGGATTGGCGGCTCACCCCAGAAATCTTCTGTTGTAGAAGTGCAGCAAATTCCATAGTGTAAAACATTCTGGCTGGGGAATTCTGGGAGCTGAAGGCCACTCACCTTACAGATGCCAAGGTTGAGAAACAAGCTTCACGCTCCGTTTTCAACCCAGTTTGTGCGGCACCACGGTTGGAAAAATATCTGGAAAATAGCAGGGGGCGGGGTTGGAGTTCAGCCAGTCAGTCTGTGCCCCCCCTAAGCTCCATTGTCAGTGCTGCAGAAATATCTATGTAGCTTGGACGCACGTCGATGGCTACATGAATCTGTGCATTTTAAAGAGCAGAATTCTGGTTTTTTTGGGAAGTTGGTTTGGGCTTAAGGTCAGCGGCAGACAGACAGGCTGAGATTCGGTTAATGCAGTGCGATAGTCAAGCTCCCTTGCAGCCTGCGGTCCCCGGGATCTTGCGCCCTGTGTGCACACGCAGTCCAAGGGCCTTCCCGAATGCGAGGGGAAGGGATCTTAACTCGAACAACCTGGTTGCTTGCAAACAGACGAGGTTCTTGGGGACGCCGATAACCATGGTGGAGATCTCAGAGACGGTTTTCCTCCCCGCGCACAGGCACACACTCCCATCCTTTGTTCCTTCAGGCACAGCTCTACAGACGTTTGTTGTTTTCAGGCATTAAATATGTTCTGCAAGGTAATTAACAAGATGAATGTTAATTATAATTAGTGTCCATTCAAAAATGTCAAACCTATTGAAGCCTATTTTTCATAATGCTCTTAATGAGCAAATTGCACTTGAGGTATAGAAACACGCAAGGGGTTAAATCTGAAACGGACAGAAATCTCTCTCTCTCACGGATTCGAGCGCCGTCTCTTTCATCTGCTGTTTGTTTTCCCTCCTTTCCCCAGTATTTTAAAAAGCAGAAACGGCTAATCCCAGAACGAACAGTTTGGAAATACTTCGTGCAGTTGTGCAGCGCGGTTGAACACATGCATTCCCGCAGGGTGATGCACAGAGGTAACATTAATTCAGTTGCTTTTCGTTGAATAATAGTATAATGTTCCAATTAGTAAGCGTCTACATTCAGAAACAATTATCCTGATGTTCATTCAGTGGAGGCTTTCGGGGCGGTGGCGCTGATGAAATGCATCTTCCCTTGTGCCCGAGTGCAAAGCATCCAGTCTGAGCAGGCCACGAGGAGGAGGAAGAGGAACTTCCTCCAGCTGTCGGTCCGACGATTCAGGGAAGCCCCACTGCGCCCATTGGCGTGGAGTTGGGGGTCTTGCGTTGAGGACGCCGGGGAGCCTTTCCCCACGGATGGGTCTTCGAGGCTTTGGACAAAAGAGGTTGGAAAAGAGGTATTTGGGGAAGGCACCAGTGTGCCAGGGTGCAAGAAAACCCTGCCCCGTTGTTCTCCATCGTCCTTCCGGCATTGCAGATAAAGCAGGAGGTTTAATATCCTCCAACGTCCAAAGAGTTAAGAGGCTGGGGGAGATGAAACCGGTTGTCAGAACATTCTTGGTGGCCTTGCAGTATTTTAAGCCAAGCTTTAAATCGTTGAGGTCTTCATCGCCCTTCTCCCCAACCTTTCCACCCACCGGGGCGTGGAAAACAGGCTAAGAACGGCCCATTTTAAATCGGCAGGAGCACCCCGTCTGGCGTGTTTCCGTTGAGATCAAAGCATGCTCCCTGCACAGAGGATAGGTTGATCCCCGAAGAATAAGCTGAAGGCTGTTGGATCCAGAAATCCCTTTTTTGGCATTGACTTTTTCTCTCTCCTTCTCTCCTCTTCCAGACATCAAGCCAGCCAATGTGTTTATAACAGCTACTGGAGTTGTGAAGTTAGGCGATCTCGGACTGGGGCGTTTCTTCAGCTCTAAAACGACCGCTGCACATTCCTTAGGTAACCCAGGTCTCTTGTCATGTAGGGAAGGTGGGACTCCTTAGCACTTGATTTTGCCTGCATTAGCATGTTCCCAAGCTCTAACTCTGCTGGGAAAGATTGAGGGCAAAAGGAGAAGAGGACGGCAGAGGATGAGATGGTTGGAGAGCATC